CTCTCGATATGTCTGCATGAGTGGCGATTAAAACCAGAAAAGAAAGATTGTCTCTTCAGGCTGATGAAGAATTGAAGTTCTAAGATCATTGGATATATTGAGGAAAGTGCCTAATAAGCAGTCTCTCCCATTAATTCAGCCATATATTGTTAAGTAGCCTGTTTAATTTCAATCCTTTTTTAAAAGGGGGGAGTTGCATCGGTCATTTCCCAATCGAATGCTGATTTTTAAAAAGTTGCTTATTTTTTAGTTCCACAATTTCAGCCTTAAGATTTCTGAGATGAATACCATCTGGAATCAGGAATGAGTTTACTCTTAATTAGATTTACAAACTAAGTTATTAATTTTATTATAAATGAACTTGACTTTCATTTATCAGTTAAGCTTATAAAACACCTTTGGGACAACTCAAACTACTGGTTTTAAGTTTTCAAACCAGGTTTCTTTTCTGTCTAATCTACTCAGACCCAATATTAAAATATGTACACTTTCTCTAGATCCCTTCACCAAATGCCACAAGAAAGAAAACTTTAATAATGAGAACCCAACACAAATGATGGCTTCCTCACTAGCACTTTTTTCAGGAATTCAAAACAATGAATAAAGCACTGGATTCCCTTTTCATGAAATTTTTAGGAGAGCTTGGCAGTACAGCTAGAGAAATCCAACGTGTATGTAAAAATCACTGCATTTGGATTTCCATCTGGGTATTCTGTAGCGGGAGCAAGAAAGATGAAAGCTGTATAACAATGCAAGCCCTGCCCCTTTTATAGCTGCACTATACCCATAATACACATCACATGGATCAAAGAAGCCTCCACAGTCACTCACTGTTTTACATAACCAAGATATAGTTTAAAATTTAAAGGTAAAGATTATGGACTACTTCGTTTCTTTTGCTGGTTCAATATGATGTAGCTACACTGTTCTTTTCTTTACAACTGTATTTCGTTCATTTATATCCCATAGAAACCTAGCTACTATTACTCTTAACGTGCATATATGAATACGCAGAAACTACTGATAGGTAGATAGGTATTTCTATATGTGGTTAATTCATATTTTGAGGATGAACGTCAGCATCTATGTTTATACATTATATATTGTAGTCAGAGAAGTCCTTTATTCTGTAATTTTCTTGATGTTCAGTCCAAAGGCGGTCCAATCTCTTCTTAAAAGCCTCCAGTGATGAATACTCCTCTTTTGTGCATTCTTTAAAAAAATCTCCATATCATTTTTATAATGTGGTGACCAAAACTGGGTGCAGTATTCCAGATGTGGTCTTACTAAGATTTTATAAGTATTAGTATTTGTACTATTTATACTAATACTTGACATGATCTTTACTCTATCCCACTGTTTATGCAACCAAGGATTGTATTACCTTTTTGACTGCAACGGCACACTGTTGGCTCAGATCTAAATGATAATCCACTAGGACTCCAAGGTGCCTCTAACAGTTACTATTTTTGAGTCAGATTTAAAGTAATCTGCACTTATACATCTGATTTTTCCTGCCTAAGTATAAAACCTTATTTTTCTCTACATTAAATTTCATTTTGTTGAAGTGTTCAAATCTGTCAAGATCCATTTGGATCCTGAGCTTGTCACGTGGGATATTGGCTATTCCTGCCATCTTAATGTTGTCTGCAAATCTGTTGAGTTCCCCTTCTATTCCCTTATCTAAGTCATTTATGAAGTTATTGAAGAGGACTGGGCCTAAGATGGAAATCTGTGGTACCCCGCTGTTTCCCTCCATGTTGATGTAGTATCATTAAGGAATACTTGTTAAGTGCAATTTGTCAGCCAGTTACAAATCCACCTATTGATGATGCTGTCAAACTCACATTTTTACCAAGAAGTCTGTTGTGGGCTACTTTGTCGAATGCCTTACTAAAATCCATATGTACTATGTCCACAGCATTTCATTGGTGCACTAATTTAGTGACTTTGTAAAAGAATGAAATAAGAATTGTTTGACCTGATCTGTTTTGGACAAACCTATGTTGGTTTATGGTTATAATTTTACTTGCTTCTGGGTATTCGCAAATCTGTTGCTTAATTAGTTTTTCCAGTATCTTTTTCAGGTATTGATGTCAGGCTGATTGACCTGTGGTTTCCTGGATCTTTTTTTTTTTTTTTTCCTTTTTGAAGACAGAAACCATATCAGCTCTTTCCAGTCCTCAGGTAGTTCTCTTTCTTCCAGGATTTTGGAAAGATATGGTTCAATGTTTCTGAGATAACATTTGCAAGCTCCTTCAGAACTCTGGGATGTAATCTGTCAAGTCCTGGTGATTTGAACTCAATCTAGATCAGATAGGTGTTCTCTTACCATTTTATGGTTGTTTTTGGTAGATTGGGCTATAGTTTCTTTTTGTATGAAGACAGATGCAAAGAGTGAGTTAAACAGCTCTTTCTCTCCACTGCCAATTATTTCCTTACCATCATTTCCCACTAGTGGACAGATTGTTTCCTTAACTTTTTTCTTGCTTTTTATATCTTGAAAGGAACTTTTAAAAAATTATTTTTGACATTGTTACAAGTTTTATTTCATTCTGGCTCCCGGTGGTCTTCCGAGTGCGCTTCAAGGTCTTGGTTATCACCTTCAAAGCGCTCCATGGCTTAGGACCTGGCTATTTACGGGACCGCCTGCTGCCACCAATAGCCTCCCACCGACCAGTACGCTCCCATAGAGAGGGGCTCCTCCGGGTGCCGTCGGCCAAACAATGTCGACTGGCGGCCCCCAGGGGGAGAGCCTTCTCTGTGGGGGCACCTACGATCTGGAACGAGCTCCCCCCGGAGATACGGAGGATTCCGGATCTGCGTACCTTCCGTTGCGCGCTTAAGACGTTTTTATTCCATCAAGCTGGCCTGACCTAAACTTTTCCTCTTTTAAATGGAATTTTAAATTTGGTTTTAATTTATTGGGGTTTTAAAATGTTTCAGCCAAATTTATTTAATTAGTTTTATCTCTATTTTAAATTTTGTATTTACATGTTTTATTTTATGGCTGTTCACCGCCCTGAGTCCTTTGGGAGTAGGGCGGTATACAAATTTAATAAATATAATATAAATATAATATTCTGAGTTTTTGCTTTTCTGATTTCATATTTGCATGTTAGGGCTATTTGTTGATATACTGCCTTAGTTATGTGACCTCTTTCCATTTTTTATACTTATCCTTTTTGTCTTTGTTTGTAAGTGAGTTCTTTGTGTAACTATGCTGATTTCTTCTTGGATTTTTTTTCCAGTGGTGTTGAGCTGGACTGGGCTTTTATAATATTTTTCAGTTTCCCAAGCTTCTTGGGCTGTTTTTCCATTTAAAATTTTCATCCATTGAATCTTTCCTAAGCTTTCTTAGTGTTTGTTAAAATCAGCTCTTTTAAAATTTAAGATACTGGTTTGATTATTTTCCATTGCTTGTGTTCGCATTATATATAATTTCAATATGAAACGGTCACTCTTACCCAAAGTTCCAGCAACTTCAGCCCCCTCTATCACTTCTCTGTTAGTAAGAATTAGGTTCAGTATAGCTTTTCCTCTAGTTCAGTGGTTCTCAACCTTCCTAATGCTGCGACCCTTTAATACAGTTCCTCATGTTGTGGTGACCCCCAACCATAAAATTATTCTTAAGACCATTGAAAATATGTGTTTTCCAATGGTCTTAGGCGACCTCTGTGAAAGGGTCGTTTGACCCCCAAAGGGGTCACGACCCACAGGTTGAGAACCCCTGCTCTAGTTCCTTCCTCTACTTTTTCAGGTGACAAAATTGTCAGCTAGGTTAGTTAGGAACCTATTCAATCTCCACTTGATGCAGAGTTTGTCTCCTAGTTAATACCAGGATAGTTAAAGTCCCCCATTATTACTGTAGTGTGTTTTCTACTTACATTTGGTTAGCAAAAAATTCATCTATTCTTCTACTCAGTTGGGTGGCATATAATATATGTCTATTGCAATGTCACTTTTTTTTTCTTTTATATTTACCCATATGCATTCTAGGTGGTTTTCATCCTTGGTTTTGTAGATTTTGGTTGACATGTAATGATCTCTTAAATATAATGCAACTCCACCTCCTTTTTTGTTAGGTCTGTTTCTTTTGAATAGTTTGTATCTTTCCATCAGTACATTCCAGGCATGAGTTTCATCCCATCAAATTTCCATAATGGAAAATTATATCATATCTGCCTTTGTGTATTAGTTCTTCAAGTTCATTCTGTTTGTATCCTAAACTTTGAGTGTTTGGTTATAGGCATTTGAATCCTTTATTGCTGAACCTGGGTATGCTTTCTATATCTAGGGGTGGGTTGCTGGGGTTTCACAGTTGTTCGGGAGAACCTCTAGCTAAGATTCTGTGCAGTTTGGAGAACCCCAAATCCTACTCCTGGCTGGCCCCTCCCACCCAAGGCATCCCCATGCAGCCTGTTTTAGATGCAGGTAAGTACAGGGCATGCGCAGAGGCTCGGAGAGGGCAAAAAACGGCCTTACCGGAAGTTCAGGAAGGCCGGAAACAGGACTGTTTCTGGCCTCCAGAGCTGGGGAGGCAGTTTTTGCCCTCCCAGAGACTCGAGAAAAACCTCTGGTGCCCAGGGAGGGCAAAACCACACACACCGCCGTGGTGCAGGAGGCCGACTAGGCCATGCCCACCATGCCATGCCCACTCAGCACCCGGGCAGAGAACCCCTTGCAAAAAATTTTGAAGCCTATCCCTGCCTATATCTCCTATTTTATATCTCAGTTGTTCTTCTTCCCATCACTTTCTACCTCATTGTTTGATTGATTGTCTCCGGGCTTGTGCTTGGAATTAAGCCCCAAAGATCCTAAAGACTGTCCTAAAGATCTTTAAGATTGGTCACCCTTCTCCCTCATTTTTCATTTAACTATAGAAGGCAAGCCATTCCACTAATTAATTAATCTCACTGTCAGGGAATTTCTCCTTATTCTTTTCTGCCACATAGTTTTCCTCATATAAATGTAATAATGTAATATAAATAAATAAACTATTTTTTTAAAAAAAAATCCTTTTATTTGGGTTGTAAAGATGTAAAGTACAGGAAAGTTACTAAACATAGTGAAAGGATTATGTTAACAGTCTAGTAACAATGTTTGGCTGCATATGCCAGACTTCTGTTGCATTGAAGACAATGAGTTCCTTCATGAGGGTTGAATGTTCCTGGACTGCAAACCACTATAACAAAAGAAAACAAACAAAACAAACAAAAATAATAATGTCATCAAATGTATTACAATTTTCTGCAATCAAATGAAGATTCCAAATTCAAAGCCAGTTAATTGCTTCAAGAAGTCTTGTCTACATGGGGTTTTATTTCCTAAATTCAGGATTCAGATTCACAAAATGTTTAAGAAAAAATAAAATAAGGAAATGGGAGGCAGAAGTAAATGTAAAAAGTATAAGATAGCCATCATAGGTGAACAAAACTTTGAGAAGACTCCATCAGTTATCTGCAACACACTGTATATAGCTAACATCTCTGCCCCATCCCATCATATTCTAAGATTTATCTTCCACTATAGGAGTCAATGTGAATAATTACAGGTACAGAACATCTGGTATTGGATTTCCTCAGGTATTGTATTGTATTGTATGAAAACTCAGATGTTTCACAACTAGTACCAAAATAAAATAAAAATCTTGTAATGTTATGGATCTACTATTGATTATTATGGTTGGTTTGGTTTGTTATGCAGATATGCTTCCAACAATTCTTATGAACAAAACTATTGAAATTTGGTCCTTCAGTTATAGTGATCTCTTCAGCAATTTAATGAACTTTAAAGAACTTTAGCAAATATAGTAAGACAGGGTCAAGGTCTGGACTGTTCATTTGCTTCTTGAGTCCAAATAGTCCTCAATTTACAACATTCATTTAGCGAGTCTTCAAAGTTACAACAGCATTGGAAAAAGTGACTTACAACTTGTCCTCACATTTATGACCATCATAGCACACCTAGAGCCACTTGATCAAAATTCAGGTACTTGGCAACCAAAATGTATGATTGTGCCATCCCGGGTCATATGATCGCCATTTGCAACCTTCCCAGATCAAAGTGGGACAATAGCCACATTGCCGCAGCCACTTCACTGCAACACCCCCCAACTGCCCCCAACGCACTACCACTGCCACCAAGCTCTCGGCACACTACAACAGGCGTCCCTCCACCATTGGCCCTCCCACACCCGTCATCCCCTACTCCTCGTCCCCCACTGCTTCACACTGGGTGATTTGCTGCAGAACAAATCTCCCTGGCTGCTATTCAATGTGGGATACTTAGTCATGTGGGATAACTCACTAAACACTGATGAAAAGAGAGCAGGACACTGATTTACCCTGTGACAGGACAGTGGGCTGCTCCCCTCCCCCATGTGCCATAGATCGCTGATGGAAGGGGGCACCAGCTGGCCCTCTTGGCCAGGTTTGACCCCGCATTCCATTTGTAGATTTCTTTAGTCATATCCTCAAAGAGTAAGAACAACAAAAATAAGAGAATGGAAGTAAAATGTCTATCTCCTAGCAATTTAATTCAGAATTTGCTTACTTCTGACCCAGGATAGCATCTTGCTCAAGTCCAAAGCTTTTATCTACCTTTGGGCAAGAATGTTGTTCATCATCATCATCCCTTCTTTCAAAGTTTTCATAGATTCTAAAATACTCAGCTTTGACTCAACCTCACAATCAATGCTCACGGCCCAGGTTCGATTCTGGTCAATGTATCTTTTGTGACTCCAGGGGTCCATTTTGCTAAAAAAATATATTTAGCTAGAGATTACATAGCTGAATTTTTTCGATAAAATTATATATTTATCCAGAAAAGGAGATTTTATTTTCCTAGCTGCCTTTTCTCCCTACAACTAGACCCACAGAGACCTTTTAATTAAAAATTATATGTGTTTTGTACAAGTGAATTAATTAAAGTAAACCAGTATTCCAAACTAATTCCAAACTAAAGTATGGATTGTATGAAGAGAATGGAGGCAAAATCTATGAGGAAAATAGCAAAAGCAGCAGCAGCAGCAAAGCCTTATTGTGTTTTTTATTTTTTTATTTTATTTTACCAAAGATTTATATGCCGCCCTTCTCCCTAAGGACTCAGGGCGGTGAACACAAGTTAAAAACATATAATAATAAAAGATCAAAAAGATTAAAACCCAGTTAAAACAACGACAATCAAAATAAGAAAAACCCAAGGATCAAGGTCAACCCATTTGTTGAAACAGCCAAGTCTTTAAGTCCTGATGAAAGGACCGGAAATCAGGTGCCATCTGAAGCTCGGTGGGTAACTCGTTCCAGAGGACAGGAGCGCCCACGGAGAACACTCTACCCCTGGACATCGCCAGTCGGCATTGTCTGGCCGACAGTACCCTGAGGAGGGCAGCCCTGTGAGATCGAACAGGACGGTGGGAGGCGGGTAGGAGATGGTCCTGCAAATACCCCGGACCTAGCCATGTAGGGCTTTAAAGGTGAGTACCAGCACCTTGAAGCAGATCCAGAGGACCACTGGTAGCCAGTGCATCTCGCGTAGAAGAGGGGTTACATGGGAGTAACGGGGAGCTCCCGTAACCACCCGCGCGGCCGCATTCTGAACCAGTTGGAGCCTCCAGGTGCACCTCAAGGGCAGCCCCATGCAGAGGGAGTTGCAGTAATCCAAACGAGAAGTAACCAGGGCATGAGTGACTGTACGGAGGGCATCTCTGTCTAGAAAAGGGCGCAACTGGTGCACCTGGGTGAAGGCCCCCCTGGTCACGGCCATAAGATGGTCTTCCAAAGACAGCCGGAAATCCAGGAGGACACCCAAGTTGCAGGCCCTCTCGACGGAAGGAAGCACTTCCCTCCCTATCGAAAGTGATGGAACTTCTAGAACATGAGACGCCGGCATCCATAGCCACTCAGTCTTGGAAGGATTGAGTCTAAGCCTGTTCCTACCCATCCAGGCCCGTACCACCTCCAGGCAATGGGACATCACGGAAAGGGCATCCCCGGGGTGGAGATATATAACTGTGTATCATCAGCATATTGATGATACCTCACCCCAAAGCCACGAATGATCTCACCCAGCAGCTTCATATAGATGTTAAAGACTAGGTGGGAAATAACTGACCCCTGAGGTACACCACAAGTTAGGGGCCTCGGGGTGGACCTCTGCCCCCCCCGCCCATACAAACGGGACCGCCTACTACCACCAATAGCCTCCCACCGGCCAGTACGCTCTCATAGAGAGGTACTCCTCCGGGTGCTGTCAGCCAAACAGTGTCGACTGGCGGCCCCTAGGGGGAGAGCCTTCTCTGTGGGGGCACCTACCATCTGGAATGAGCTCCCCCCGGAGATACGGAGGATCCCGGATCTGCGCTCCTTCCGCCGTGCTGTGAAGACCTTTTTATTCCATCAAGCGGGCTTGGCCTGATCTCTTCCCTTTTTAAATATGTAAATTTTAATCTGTTTTTAAATTATTGGGGTATTTTAATTTGTCTGGGCCAAAAAGTTTAATTTGATTTTATCGGGTTTTTAAATTTTGTGTATTTATGTATTTTATTGTTGGCTGTTCACCGCCCTGAGTTCTTCGGGAGTAGGGCGGTATACAAATCAAATAAACTAAACTAAATTAAACTAAACTAAACTAAACTAAACTGCGAACGACCTGAGAGGTAGGAGGAGAACCACTGTAAGACAGTGCCTCCTACCCCAACCCCCCAAGTCGCTGCAGTAAGATACCATGGTCGATGGTATCGAAAGCCGCTGAGAGGTCAAGTAGGACCAGGATGGAGGAACAACCTCCATCCCAGGCCCACCAGAGATCATTCACCAGAGTGACCAATGCTGTTTCCGTGCTGTGCCCACACCGGAACCCCGATTGGTACAGGTCTAGGAAATCCATTTCCTCCAGGAACTGTGGGAGCTGTTGCGCCACCACGGACTCAACAACCTTCGCAATAAAGTGAAGGTTGGAGACCGGCCGATAGTTATTAAGTGAGTCTGGATCCAAGGCCGGCTTCCTGAGGAGGGGTCGAACCAGCGCCTCCTTAAGGGAGGGGGGATGACCCCCTCCCTCAGAGAAGTGTTGACAATAGCCTGGATCCAGTCTCCAGTCACTTCCTGGGCAGCTGAAACAAGCCAGGAGGGACACGGATCCAGCAAACATGTGGAGGCACCCAATCTACCCACAATCCTGTCCACTTCATCCACGGAAACAGAGTCAAACTCAACCCAGATACTACTCCCAAGACTTGCCCCAGTCTCCTGGATGGACACTGCCCAGTCAGAGTCCAGACCGATCCAGATCTGAGCGATTTTATCTTGCAGAAACTGAACAAAATCCTCAGCTCTGCCCTGTAAAGGGTCTTCCCTCTCTCCTTGATTGAGGAGAGAGTGGGTCACACTAAACAGGGCTGCTGGGCAATTTTCTGCAGATGCAATGAGAGCGGCGAAATGATCCCGCTTCACCGCTTCCATCGCCACAAGATAAGACCTAATATAGGTTCTTAACTGTGTTCGATCAGATTCGGATTGGGAGGATCTCCAACACTCCTCTAAGTGTCTTTTCTGATGCTTCATTTCCCGGAGCTCCATGGAGAACCAAGGAGCCACCCAGGATCTGCATCGGATCAGAGGCCGCAAAGGTGCGATTCGGTCCAAGGCCCCAGCAGACGTCCGTTCCCAGGATACTACCAGTGCCTCAGTCGAATCGCGGGATTGGGAAGCAGGGAATGTACCAAGCTCCGTCAGGAATCTCTCAGGATCCATCAGGCACCTGGGGTGGAACCATTTTACTGGTTCCACCTCCCAGCAGTGGGGGTTGGTGGATTGAAAGTCCAGTCTAAGGAGGGAATGGTCGGTCCATGACAGGGGGAGCAATAGACAGATCCCCCCTACCCCGGCCATTTATCCACTGCCCAGAGAGAAAAACCAGGTCAAGTGTGTGTCCACCCCTATGAGTTGGGCCCTGAACAACCTGAGTCAGATCCATGGCCGCCATGGAGACCATGAACTCCCGCACTGTCTCAGATGTCTCGCCGATTGATAGCAGATTGAAGTCTCCCACAACCAAAAGGCTGGGGAGTTCCACTGCCACTTTGGCCAAGACATCGAGCAGTGCGGGCAGGGCAGTGGCCACACAGCTGGGAGATAGGTATGTGACCAACAAACCCGACTGAACTCCAGGGTCCCACTTCAATAGGAGAGATTCACACCCGCCTCTCTGAGGGACAGTGACCTCCCTAGGACTGAGACTTCCTCTAATAACCACCGCCACCCCCCCACCACCCCAGTGTTGCCTGGGAATTGAACCCAGGCCTCAAAAATTCTACCACTGGACCACCAATCCACTGTTGGGAAGAGCTGGATGACTGCTTTAATGGAATAAAAAAGGCATGGTTGGCCAAGCTAGAAAACTGAAGTGCAATAATGATATAAAACATTCTCTTCATGCATTTGCTCTGTAAGTGTCTCTACCTGCTCTCTGCATGTACTTTAAATGTTTTCAGCTCTGAAGCAAGGGTGAAATGCTCCCGGTTCGGACTGGATCACCTGATCCAGTAGTGATGGCGGTAGGTGGTTCAGAGAACTGGTAGCTAAAATCTCTGCCCTCCCCCCCATGCCCAGCTGAGCCACACGATCATCAGAGTCTTTTTTTTTCACTTTTAAAAGCATTTTTTCTACAACCTCTTAGGAAAAAATGCTTTTAAAAGTTTTTTTAAAAAAGCCTCTGATGATCATGTGGCTCAGCTGGGATCGTCAGAGCCTTTTAAAAGCATTTTTTTACAACCTCTTCGGCTGAAGAGGTTGTAGAAAAAATACTTTTAAAGGTTAAAAAAAAAAAGTTGGCCATGCCCACCCAGTCATATTACCCTGCACCAAGCCACGCTCACAAAACCGGTAATAACAAATTTTACATTTCACCACTGCTCTGAAGGATAGCTTTATTTTCCGTTCATAAATATTTATTTCTTTATTAAATTTGTAGCTCACCCATCTGCATCTGGGGGTCTTACAGATTATGAAAAGACAAATAGAAAAATAATTAAAATATTAAAAGTATGCAAATTAAAAATTTAAAACTGCACACACAAAAAAACAAAACTAAGGCATGATTCAAGAACCCCATGCCTCTGAGCAAGTGCAAAGATTCCTTGCCCACCTGCTTGGCACATTTAGGGTCCCTTACTTGAGGGGCTGAATGGTCTTGCATCACTGCCATTGGGATTCAAAGTTGCTTCACCGGGCACTCATGTATCTCTCTCTCACACACACATACATGTAATCTCCCCCCCAGCCCAGCTGTTGTCTACCAAACTGCGAAGCGGAGCGAGTGGGGGGAGCATGGGGAAGGTGAAGGCTCGTGTGAGCTTCCAGTGAGGTGCGAACCAGTCCAATGGGAGACCATCAAAAGACAGGCGACTTTTGACATTGGGCTACGTGACTTTCCAAGGCTCTCCCAGGGGATGGAGAGGACAGATCCCAGCACATTTGCTGGAGGGGAGGGCGGGAGAGAATCAGGTGGCACATGAAGGAGCACACAGTCCTGGTCCTCCTCCCCCGCTCTCCCCATGGCAGCCTCTGAGGCGTTACACACATGGGGAAGTAGCTGGTGCAAACTCTGCCAGGGAGGATTAATTCCTTCCTCCTTCCCTCCCTCCCTCCACAAAGCAAAGCACCTCCTGCCTGCTGGGGGGGGGAGAGTGGCCCAATACCCAGTCAAAGGCACTCTCCCTGCACTGATGTGTGATGAGTTATCTTGCACAGCTAATTGTCCTGTGCAGGATAGTGACCAAGAAAATTTGCAGACGTAGCCTGCAGTACTGCATTCTAACCACTGCACCACTGTGGCTCTTATTGTGCACATTCCCATGGTCCACAGTTATTTACCAGTGGACTTCTAGTACTTTTCTATGAACGCACACAGAGGAATTGTTTCCAGTTCAGATTTGAAATGTTACAGATCTTGAGAGTTTTTTGTAGAAGCCCTGTCCACGCCACAACATGTCATATAAAAAGGAATGCCTCCTCTCAATACTCAATCCAATAACCATCACAGTGGAAAGAATCCATGATTCTAACTTTCAATCCAAATCAGAAAAGAGACTTCTTTTCAGAATTCAGATGAAGAATTACAGTTGAAAACCCAGCTCTTTCTCATTTTAATCTCTCAGATTCACGTCACAGATGAATCCACAATCTTACCATGGAGTAGGTAGTCTAGGAGAGCATTGAAGACAATATTGCACAAAGACTATATCCTGCTGACATTACAATCTGAAGAAACAATGTCTTATTAAATTTGAAGTTTGCAGTCCAGCAAGTCTACAAAACCACACTAGTCAAAAATAAGGCTGACGAAGGCACTATTTGAATATCTCACAAGGACAGGGCAAGAATATTTCACCAGCTCATAGCACTAATGAATAATAACTGTCATCCATTTCTAAAATTCTTTCATAAGACAGGAAATTGGCATTTAATTCTGCCATAAAGCAACATCTTCAGATTGAAGACCAAACAGAAAGCACTCAGAAAGTATTAAAGGTTCAGATGAGACAAACAGAATTAAAAACATATACTTATATATTGATCTTGAAAGTTCAATGCAAGTTGGAGGCCATTGTTCTTGGCATGGTAAAAACCCAAAAGAAAACTTCAACCATACTTGACAGAAGACTTTTATCTCACACATAAGAGAATGAAAAGAGATGGAGTCAACTCTCATAGGAGGGAGAAAATATAGGAGGATTAGCAGAACCTGGGGGCAGAGTTAAAAAAGGGATGAATCCAGAATCCCTACATAGCCACAAGTGAACTAAATCCAATCCTCCTAACTAAAGAGAACTAAATCCTCCCTTGAATTCCAATGACCCTTACCTAACCCCAACTAGATTCTAACCATTAGATAAGGATCAATTCAAGAGAGGTAGAACTTAGTTCTCTTGTGGCTAAGGAGGGAATCTAGGCTGATCCTTATTTTAACTCCACCCCAGGTTGTGCTACTCCTTCTACAGAAAATGAATTCTAAATAATAGCCAGAGGTTATTATCAATAGGACTCAACTTTCTATTGTGATATATATCACATGAAAGAAACTCTGCCCAATTCCACAAAAATAAAACAGAGACTTCTATCTAAATAATTGGAATGGATTATTAATTAACAAAAAAAGCAATGGGATTAACTGGATTGGTAGTTCATCTTCAAGAGTACAGGAAATTGTTCTTGCTCCAGAACAAAATATTTCCTCATTATCTATTGAATATTTCCCTGAAAGAGCATGTTTTCAGTTCTAGACTAAGAGTATATTGTAAAATCTATGGCACCCTTTCAACTAGCAATTGTTTAATCTAATGCGACACAAATTTATGGAATTGATCGACACTAAGATGACAGTAGAAGTATAAAGGCTTTGGGGAAGAAAAATGGTTTAAAATTCTCAAATGAAAGATTTCTGCTAAAGCAAAAGAACCCATTTTTCATCTTAAGTGCATTTGAATTATGCTGAATTATCAGCCACTAAATCTTACGCATTCTGTATGTTGACTCCAAGTTAACATTTTGTCCTTTTTCACAATTTAAGTTTAGTTTGGTCCATAGCCAAACTTAAGTTTTATTTTTTGCCAAAGTTACACTTTTTTCTTCTGTATATGTTGCACTGAAGGTTACTATTTAATATTTTAAGTTATTGTGTGGATAAATTAATTTGATTCATGTAAGATGTTTATGTGATTTGTTATTTCTTCCTTAATACACTGAGTTAATAGACATTTAAATATGAAATACACTTTTCATAATACTTTGTTGTATTTATTTTTTAAAAAGGCTATAAATTAAGTAAGGAACTCTTTTTTAAAAAAAGCATAGTTTTTTTAAAACTATGCTTTTAAAAGCATAGTTCAAAGACTGTGTTGTAAAATCTGTGGATCGGAGTCAAGTGTCTAATCTCAAAGCACTGGAAATTGCCATGGATTAGGAGCATAATATGCAGAGTAGCAAGCAATATTAATCCACCACTTTGCAATATTGTGATTTGGGCATGAAAAGCTTCAATATTCTATTGCTTGTATTGATGAAGAAGAAAAAAAGTAAGATTTTCATCACAAGAAGGATTCAACTCATAACTAAGCTGACTTTATTTTTTCTGATTCAGAGATAAAACATTAGGAACATAGAGTTTTCATCCAATAGTATCAAGCCTTCTCCCTTTTAATTCAGTAGCGTTTAAAGTTTGGTACAAGGGAGATATCCCCAAATATAGTGATTGCAGATTGTCTGCTTATTGAAACCAGAACTCCATTACAGACTCAAGAAAGCACAAGTAGTCTTTTAAACTTTGCTTTCACAAAAGGGAGCCCCTAAGAAGTCTTTAACTCCAATTCTTTAGAGTAATTATCATCTATTCTAGAAAAGATAAGTACAGTCCAAATCATAATGGCAATCACAATATTTTGATTTAAATTTGATTTTATACTAGGACTGAATCAATTTCTATGCATCACAATGAACAAATGCCAACAAGTTAGTCTATCTTAGTAACCAACTCATTTGCAGCTATATTCCATTTTCAAGATATTCACCATGAATTATACAATCAAACCATAAGAAATAATAACCAAATTTATCAGAAGCAATAAATATAGTAACTCTGTTGTAATAAAAAATTAATCAGATAATTCCTCTAAAAATATTTTTGTAGTCTGTGTTTATAATGGAAATTGTTATCCTCCCAACCTACCACAACAATTAGGGCAATCCGAATGTAGTAGAGAATTGATTCCATAACCTGGAGAACAGCGATTAATCCACACCATTTGCAGAGTGCCTTCAATGTAGTATATTTCAGGTAGTGGTGCTGTTCTTTTACCAAGAACTTCAACTTGTTGGCTAAAGAATTTCTCTATGAGGTCTTTTGCCTAAAGTAAAAAGAAATTACTTTCTTGATAAAGATAAAAATCAGCATTTTTCTTATTTACTTCTTTTCTTACTGGTACTTACATAAAAAATACAAATTGTATCAATAATATTAACTGTTTAACCTTGGTTAATGTATTTATTGCAATATACAATGAATAAATATTCTTATACATGACTAGAGAATGACTTGTGACATGCTGGTTCAGAGCAGCATATAGTTTAAAAACTATATTTTAAGAAAAACAGTTGAAGGAGTTATGTTTGTTCACGTTTGAGTAAAAATGTGTGTGTTTGGAGGGGAGAAATATAAAAGCACTCTTTAAACACTTGAAAGGATATCAAAGAAATTTGTCATTTCACATTCCAGAATGCAGGATGTATAATACTGAATATACAGTAAGTTGCAGGGTATTAGAAATACAGATTAGAAAAACTTCCTACCTAAAGCATTTTTACAAAACAAATGCCCGAAGATGTGGTAGACACATTGGTTGTGTTAAAGAAAAAACTAAACAGCCATGTTTTCTGATGTTTTAATTTAGGTTCTATAATGAGTAGCAGTTTGGACTGAATGGCCTAAGTGGCCCATTCAAACTTCTTGATTCTGTTACAGGATCTGTGTGTCAAGATAGTAAATGTTTATGATGGTTCAGAGAGATATCTTAACCTTAGTTCCAATTATCAAAACCTGATGGACCAAATTTCTTAGTTTGGCCTACTATTCAAATAACTACAGACAAGCAAAGGTGAGGATAATTAAATACACCTCTCCAATCATTTGATGCCATCAAATTTCTCCCAATTTCTCTTTCAATTTCTTTTCTTTCAGAGGTGGATACATGTTTTATAAGAACTAAATGGAAAAAAATATACTCAAATCATTGTTCTTGCCTTAGTATTTTTTCTCTCTCCTGGTTTCCATAAAAGACAATCTCCTAAAATGATTAGAGCAGTGGTCCCCAACCTTTTGCACACCAAGGACTGGTTCCGTGGCGAGGTTTTACCGCGGACCACAGGGGCATGCTGCCTGCACACTGCCTGCCTGCAACCCGCTTATGCAGTTTCACTTGGTTGTGCAGCCCGGTTTCTAGCATGCCATGGCCCGGTGCCGGTCCACGTACTGGGGATTGGAGACTCCTGGTCTAGAGGGAGTCATGGAAGATTATTTATCTATATAGAATCCTATGACTGGAGATCTTCTAGTCCAACACTAGGCTGAGAAATTCTTATCTGTTAGCAGAATTCTTTATACCATCTTCAATGAATGGATGTCCAATTTTTCTTGAAAGTGTCTCTTTAAGGAGCTTCCACCTATTGTTCTTTGTCCTGCCCTCAGATACTCTGAAGAATAAATTGATCAACTTTTTTTATGAAGTCCCTCAAATACTGGAAGATACCTATGTCACCCCAATTGTCTGGTCTGCCAGCTTCAGCACTTCTGACTGTGCTTCTGCCAGCATCCTGACATCAAAGGACAAGAGGGAGGGGGACTATGGAATGTGGGTTAGAGCCAGAGTGAGAATAGAAGAAAGGAGGCAGGAGGAAATTGACAGGGATGAGAATAATCAGGTGCTTATATCAGTTTGCTCCAGACTTCAAGGACAACTTGAGAATGAATGGATAGACTGCCCACCATAAAATGGTTCCCAAAACATCCATAAGCCTTGCTATTGGGCACTGATGACTGGCTCAAAGGAGGTGGACCAGGAGGGAAGGAAAAATCTCATGCTTTGCATTGGAATTTTTCAGATTCCACCTTACTTGCTTTGCAATCAAGTACTGTAGTAAATGACTTCAATCAAATTGAGTCTTCGGTCATTCTTTCCTAGCATTAGATTTGGGGCAGGTCTGACGTTAGGTGAATCTACAAAATTGGTCAACCCAGAGACACCCTCTACCATGGAGACCATGCACACAATGTTAACTCACAACAGCTAACAGGAGGAGGGAAAAACCTCGGCCAAAGCAGCAGCCAGACCCAAAGCAGAAGAAATCATTCTGAGTAGCTTGTGGAACTGAAAGCCTGTGACAAGCAGCCAAAGCCCAGGTTGTCCCTAGGTGTCAGGAAGAAAGAAGACTGGGAGGAGAAGCCTTCTGGGGTCAACTTCCAAATGGGCAGTCATGGTGATGTTGGAAGATTAGGATTGTGTATACTTATTTGTACTATTATTGTTAACATTGTTTAAAAAGGACATTGACCCAGTCAATACACTGTCCACAAAATGTGTATGGTGTGAAAGGAAAACTGTGAATAAAACATGAATTAAAAAAACAAAACAAAGGACCATGATGCTAAAAGTGGAAGTCATTTTGGGTTTGTAAAAATTTTACACCTGGTAAAGCATCAATTCTGATGACCATCTTTGAAAAAAGGACAAAGCCAGCTGCCCCATGTGTACCTCAGCAAAATGGTGCCAGGGGAAAAACAAGGACTCCTCCTCCTCTAACCCTAACCCTGATCCTGATCCTGATCCTAACCCTAATCCAACTATTTGGCGTAGTTAAACCCCAAGTCTCATGGAAAGAAATATCCATGGACTTTACAGTTGAACTCCCTGAAAGCGTTGGCAATATCATTTGGGTCATAACCAACCTTTTCTCTAAACAAATACACTTTGTGCCCCATCACAAAATCCCTTCAGCATGCTTGATAAACTGTTTATTCAGCACATCTGTTGCTTACATGGTGTTCCTAATACATTATCTCAGATTGGGGAGTTTATTTTACCCCTCGGTTCTGGCAAGAGTCCTTTAAACTCCTGGGAACCTCCCAGGGCCTTAGCTCCTCTCATCATCCAGAAACTAATGGATCCTGTGAATGTACAAATTCTGTATTACAAATACCTCAGGTGCTATATCAATTAGCAATAAGACAACTGAGTTGATCTGCTTGCCTTTGCAGAAGTAGCCTGCAACAATTCCTTCGACAGCAGCACCGGGTTTGAGCCATTCAAAGTGGCTTCAGGCCAAGACTTTGTAACCATGCCCAAATTACCTAAACCTAAACCTAATGTAACCTCTCTGGCAGAATGGGTGGCCCAACTTCAAAACTCCTGGTCTGTTGTTCATAAACATTAGCTGATGCGCAGTAGGCACACACAAAAAGCCAAGTGGACAAAAATGCTCTCCACCGAAAGAATTTATAATAGGAAATCTAATCTACCTATCCACTAAGTATCTTCAATCAAGCCACCCTTCCAAAAAAACTGGATCCCAAATACATCATAAACTTATTTACTGTCCAACTAGAATTCGCAAAATCGCTAAGATGCATTCACTTGGCATTTCATTGCAACCTGCTTAAGCCTGCAAACACCTCTCCATTGTGTCCTACTGAACCATCACCTCCATCTCCTATCTTCATTGACGGTGCACAATATTTTTGAGGTTAAGAACATTCTGGACTCTTGCACACATAAGAGGGAAAATCTAATATCTTGTTGCCTGGAAGCATTTTCTCCTATCAGAAACTGAATGTGTTGATGCCTATCATGTCAATGCTGAAAAAATTCCACTCCAAATACCTGGACAAACCAGGCTGATGCCTATATTCCCCCCTCCCCACTTTGTCTCTTTTTCTTTTCCAGGACTAACATTCCTGTTCAGGGGGGAAGAATGTCAGGTCTGCCATCTTCAGCACCTCGGACCATGCTTCTGCCTGCATTCTGATATCAAAGGACAGGAGGGAGAGGAGCTATGGAATGTGGGTTAGAGCCAGGGTGAAAACCAGAAGGAGGAGAGAGGGGGAAATTGACAGGGTTCAGTATAACGAGGTGCTTGTGCCAGTTTGCTCCAGACTTCAAGAACAACTGGCCTGAAAATGAGCAGATTGACTGTCCACTATCAAACAGTTCCCAAAACATCCAAACAACTTGCTATTGGACACTGGTGACTGACTCAAGGGAGGTAGATTAGGAGGGAAGGAAAGATCTGGTTCTTTGTGCAAAATTCTTCAGATCCCACCTTACTTGCCTTGCAACCATTCTACCCTAGTAAAAGTACCTATTATTTCAACCAAATGGAGTCTAGGATCTGGGGCAGAGTTAGATTTGGGGCAGGTCTGACACCAATCCTCCTCTTCATTAGACTAGACATACTTATTTCCCTTAATCATTTATCATACAGTTAAGAGGTACCTCCAGATCTCTTGTCAACTTTGATGCTCTTCTCTGTACTCTTTTTGGGGGCCTCATCATCTTTTTTATCACGACAACTAGAACTGGACATAGTATACCCAAGTGTGGCCTCATTAGTGCAATATAGAGCAGTATTATCACTTTTTGTGATCTTGATGTATGTATTCCTCTATTGATGTAGCCTAAGACTGCATTGCCTTTTTTGGCAGCTATAGCAATCTGTTAGCTCATGCTCAAGTGGTAGTCCTCTAGGACATATAAATCTCTCTCACAAGTATTATAGTACTGCCTATTCTATATCTGAATATTTGTTTTTTTTCAGGACCCTACTCTTCTCAAACCTGAATTGCATCTTAGGGCCTATTGCTCAAATCTGTCAAGGTCCTTCTAAGTCTTCAGTCTATCATCTAAAGTATTAACAATTTCACTCAGGTTAGTGTCATCTGCAAATTTAATGAGTCCTCCTTCTACCGCCTCATCTACATCATTTATGAAGATATTAAAGAACACTGGGCCCAAGACAGAACCTTGAGGAACCTTACTGCATGCTTCCCTCCACATAGATGTAATTCCATTGAAGACCAGATGTGGAGTTGTGGTTGGTCAGCCAATTGTGAAACCATCTGGTGATGATACTATCTATCTCACATTGTTGTATCTTACCAAGAAATAAGTTGTGGTGTACTTTGTCAAATGCATTACACTTATAGTATACTTAGACCCCGCAATTCTAAGTATACCATATGTACAGCATTTAGTATACTATATCCACAACATTTCACTGATCCACTTCTTTAGTTCTTTATTAAAGAAGGCAAACAATATATTCTGGACAGCATAGATTAAAAAAGCAGTTGAATGAACATACATTTTTAAGCCCGAAATGAAGAAATATCTTCCTTTTTCCCTTTTCACTTCTTACAAGGATAAGTATTCTATGTTAGCAATGGAAAGATGTTAATATACTAAAGCAGAATTTAATATTCTTTTATTAATGGATGCCCACAATTTTCACAGAATAAACCAACAAAATGTATGCATAACCATCACCAAGTTGGAACAAAGTTTAATAATTTTGTATACTGATCACTATTTTTGAAATGAGGCTAATTTTTTTAGTATTGTTGTTAATTGGTTTGACAAAACTTAAGGAACTGAACTTGCTGCATGAACCTCTATTTCATTCCATATTCTTTGATAATAAATACATTCTCATTCTTTTTAACCCAACCTTTATTTTACAACTTACACAAAAAGAATATTAAAGCTGTTCATTTACTTTTTGAAAGATAAACAAGAAACAAGTGCATTATGAATTTCATTTCTTTTCTGAAAGATTTATATTACCTTTCGTAATCTTCTCGATACATCACATACACTGCTCTGACACACACTTTTGCCTTTTGATGTTTCTAGAGAAGAAACTGTAAAAATGTTCAGCTATAGGAGGGAAACTATACAATATAAATAGTCTTGTTTTCTAAAGGAAATTAACTATGAATTTAAAGGATAAAAGATTCCTTTGAGTCAACTTTAACTCTTGCTGACTAGATATCCATATTGTTTTCTTGGCAACATTTTAGTAGTTATGTCAATGCAATTTTCCAAGATATTTTTCAACATTTCACATTACTCTGCAATACTAGATTTTCTGTAAGTCCCCCATCTAAGTACTAATTTGATCCATGCAACTTAAAATTTTAGAGATCTGTCAAGATCACTAAGATGTTCTCAAGCCACTATGGCATCTATTTAACAGTGAATTTTTAAATAATTGATTAAGGAATTTAATCCTCTTACACATATAATGGAAAAGTACGCTGCATCACCAAATTTTATTTTTATATTCAGTGTATATGTAAACGATGCAATGAATAATCTGTTTTAGAATATGTGATTAATTAGACCTCTGACATAAAATACATAAATTAAGTCAGTTTTTAAATTGAATATCAAGACCTCTTTTTAAAGAAGAGAGTCTTGTTGTCTAGAATGTTTTGCAGCACACAGTATTGGTCTAAACAGACCTATGATGTGACTTGATATGGTACAAAGGAGGAAGTTTTAGACTGAAAGAATAAGAGAATGTGTAGTTATATAAAGACCACAAAATATATTTACTGCTTATATGAATACTCATATTTGTCATCATTGCCACACTTTTATTACCCCACAAAATAGGATTTCCTGGATGGGTCAAGTGTATTTTTTAAAGGTCTTATCTGCTGTTATTAGACTTAAATGGAACATCTGCCAATAATTAGAATCACTTGTATTTCAATTCCAGGCTGTCAAAGCCTATACTTTTTAAAATGTGTATTTACCAACTTATTTCCTTGCAACCTTCAAATTTCACAGATTTGACGATGGACTGTAATCTACAGAAGTTTATGCCACAATAAATTTGAATTAATGGCTTACAATATGGTCAATAATAAATCTGTGCATATAACTGTTCATTGCGTTCTAAATACATCAACATTTTAGAGAACTACTGTTCCATTATTAAGTAATACCGAATTATGTTTTATTACTGAAAATATCTACAAAGGGAAAAAAAACTGAATAATAGGGATCTACTAAAATCATTATTTCATTCATAATATACTTTCTTAAAATATAATTAAAATGACCTGGTCATTTACTAAATCAGCAAACTGTCAAAATTATTTCATTATATATGATTAATTAATATCTCAATTACTTTTCATGTAACTTCTGTCAGACCTTTAATACAAAAATAGTTTTCAACATATCATGAAAAACATGCCTCCATGAACAACTTTTCAAACTAGTCTTACCTTTAAAAGTGAAGAATAGCTCATTTTGCATTCCGGCTCTCTGCATTTTTACATGATGGCATTCAGACTTTTGCAATGAAATCTCACAGCCTAGCTCCACAACAAGCTTGACCAATATCTGAAGCAGCTTCTTTTCAAAAGAACTATTATAGATACTATTGCAGGGAGCTGAGTGATACCGTGCTGTAAACTCATAGTAAAAGTCAGGATCAGAATAAGCTGCAGGAAAAAAAAGTTTAGATTCAAACAAAAGCTAGATACCAAAATTAAGACTAAAACTACTGAATTTTTTAAAAAAAACAAGAATTCATTGCACCAAAGGAGAAAAAATACAATCTTCTAGAATATTACATTCAGGAACTAAACTGCTACTTTAGGTATCCTCAAGTAGTTGGAATTCTCCTGTGGGATCTTTTTCTTTTGAACAGCAGATAAACTTTTATCCAACTTCTGTCAAAAACTACACAGCCTAAAACCATCTCTATCTATTGCCCTGATGGATTATGTGTCTACTTCTTAAAAAAGCTTTCCATTGCCATATCAGAACCTCTAAGCATAATCTATGAAATATCTTTCAGAACCAGCTTCTTGCCCAACCTCTGGTCACTAGCCACAGTCATCCCTATCTTCAAAAAGGGTGAGCCCAGCCTAGTTGAAAATTACAGACCAATCTCACTGTGTTGCGTCAACTGCAAAGTCATGGAATCAATCATAAACCAATCCATTACCCTCCAGTTAGAGACAAACAACTTACTAACAAGCAGTTTGGTTTCAGGAAATTTTTTTCCTATAATCTGCAATTCCTACACTGCAAAAACATGCGGACTACCCAACTTGACCAGGGTAAAGCAACAGACGTAATTTACATAGACTTCTGAAAAGCCTTTGATTCAGTGGTACATGACAAACTACTGTTAAAACTAAAATCTTATGGCATTTCCGGATCCCTATATAAGTGGATAACTGTATTCGTGTCAAATAGACAACAAGTAGTCAAAATACTTGTTTGATAGGTGTGCCCTATCAAACTCTGCATCTGTTAACAGCGGTGTCCCCCAATGCAGCGTTTTAGGACCCACACTCTTTATACTTCACATAAATGACCTTTGCGATCATATTATAAGCAACTGCATTCTCTTCGCTGATAACATAAAACTATTCAACACCTCCAACAATGCTGCTGCCCTATAAAGAGACCTTGACTATGTTTCAGAATGGTCAAACAATTGGCAATTCCAAATCTCAACCAAGAAATGCTCTGTTTTACACATTGGCAAAAAAAATCAGTACATAAAATACAAGCTAGGCAGATTTGACCTCGTAGACGGCCCTCACTCTGTTAAGGACCTTGGAGTACTCATTTCAAATGATCTAAGCGCCAGAGCCCTCTGTAACAGCATTGCCAAAAAGGCATTAAGAGTAGTTAACCTAATCTTGCGAAACTGCTTCTTGGGTAATATTGTACTGCAAACTAAGTCATACAAAAACCTTTGCTAGACCAATTCTCAAATATAGCTCATCTGCCTGGAATCCGCACTGTATATATGACATTAATACAATTGAGCGAGTCCAGAGGTATTTCACAAGAGTCCTCCACTCCTCTGCTCCTTATGCCACCAGGCTTGAAATTTTGGTCTTAGACAACTTAGAACTAAACCACCTTTGGTCTGACCCAAGCGTAGTACACAAAATTATCTGCTACAATGTCCTACCTGTCAATGACTACTTCAGCTTCAAATGCAATAATACACAAGCACACAATAGATACAAACTCAAGGTAAACCGTTCCAAACTCAACTGCAGAAAATACAACTTCAGCAACAGAATGGTAAATGCCTGGAATGCACTACCTGACTCTGTGGTTACATCCCCAAACCATTGTTCAAGAATCACAAGAGTAAAGAATTTTTGATTACAAATAACTCATGCATTTTTGAAGTTGAAATCTAGACATTTAATTTTCTTAATTTACTTCTTATTATCATGGATTGTATATTAGTGAAATTACTTGGCTTAAGAGTAGGCAGATCAAGACTGAAAAATAATTTAGACATAGAAATATGAAGATGATTAGACATTAAAACTCACTGTCTTCCTCAAAGATATGCTGTAACGATAAAAAGGGAGGATTTCTGGCTAAAAACAGATCTTTAAGTTGGCTGATTAAAAATAAAACTACTTTTCAACTACTTTTGTCAGTGAGTGTAACAATTTTTTTTGAGAATGGCCTATGTTGCTGAACTTTATGGCCAAAAAATAGATGTTTCCACCACTTCCCATATTATGAGAGAATCTGAATATGCAGTACCCAAACCATTGAAAATATTTATAATATTTTATTCAACTAATAAATTATATTCACCCAGTAGGTTTGATATTGGAAAGAATAGCCATTGGGACCTCAACCATAGACTGTCATGTTTCCTCGTGGGCTCAAATGTACATATTGTATACAAAACTGCTAAATTTATAATTAAGGAACTTCCCAAGAACCTGGTACATTAAACAAATTGACATGCCATTTAAGGGAGATTAATTTAATTACTGACTCCTTGCATAACAACATACGTATTTTATCATTGTATTTTCTCCTATCTACTTTATTCTGGAATTAGATTTTGTATTTTATTTTATTGATAAGGTCGCAAGGTTAATCAGTCAATAAGCTACTACTACTGTTTTCATAGGAAAAGATTCATATAATTCAAAAAGGGCTTAGGGGAAATAGGGTTGCCACATTCGTATTCATTAATAGTAGCATACCCCATTAAAACAAGGCAAGAATATTTTCAAATTAGAGAAAAGAACCAAATATAGATAAATAACTACAAAGAGTACATTCACACAATTCATATATTATATATATAAAATTTTATTAGGGTATAATTTCAACAGCAAAAACCACTACATGCTGAAAAAATAGAATAAAAAAGTAGAAGATATAGAAAACAAAGAAAAATAGATAAATAGAAAAGAAAAAAATAAACTATACTATACTATAAAAAGAGAAATATATATAGAAATGACTTTCCATCTTCCTAACAAGTATAGGCAATTTTAGTAATCTAACACTTTCTCTTAACATGCAACAAATAATCTCTTCTTCCCGTATCTGATTTTTTATCTATAAACAAATCCATAAAGCATTTCAGTCCTGATCTCAGTAGGAATCCATTTAGGATTAGTCTAGATAACAATATATTTATTTTAAATTTGATCAAATAAATCAACTATATATTACTTCTTTTTCTTCTAACAATTATAAAAATAATCTTCTGGATCCATTGTTCAAAAAAAACCTCTATCAATATGTCACATGTTACAGTATTTTTCTTCAATCTGTAATTGTTAGTTCTTTCTTTTCTTTCAACTGTAATTGTTAATTCCCTCTTAGTAGCCAATTTTACAGCAGCAAATTCAAGTATTTTCATAAATACTGGAGAATAAAATAAATAATAAATAATGCCTGATTTAGCTTATCCGTGTATTTCTTCTAAGCAATGTTTTACCAGAACCAAAGAAATTAAAAATTGCCCCCCCTTTCAAAAATTGCTTAAAAAATGGCTCAATGAGCATAGATGCTCTAATTTCCCCAAATGATACTCTAATTTCCCAAAAAGAAAGATCTACTTAATTATTCTGCTGCAGAGGAGCTTAATTTCACTGTAATCCCTAATAATAGATAATATTTCTTAGGTTATCAATTGGCCAAAAATAAAGTAAACCTAAAGAAATTATTTTACTCCACTAGTCATTACCAACTATAGAGTGCTCATCTCAGTTTCAAGACCATTGAGCCAGTGCTATTAGAAGACATTTCTGCAGTCATGTGACCAGCATTATATCATGGAGCACTGTTTCCTTCCCACCAAAGTGGTACCTATTTATCTACTCGCATTTGCATGCTTTCAAACAGCTAGGTTGGCAAGGAGGGGACTCATCCTGTTGCATGGCACTCTGGTCTCAAATCTGGGCTGCTAGCTTTTCCAGCTAACAAGGCCAGCATCTTAATCCCTCTGCAACGGCATTGCCCCAATTTGCCCAAAGCAAGACCTAAATTCAAGAAATAACTTTACATAACAAATAGTCTCTACAGCAGAGTTCCTCAACCTTTCCAGCTTTGCAGAGGAGCTGGGGGAGAAAGGGGATGGTTCCACATGAGAGGTGGGCAAGTGCTCATGCACAATTCCATTTGTATAAGTGGCAAGCAGGTGCACCTGCCACTTGTGCAAATGGAGTACTCTTGTGCTTGCCTGCCATTCACACAAGAGAAGATGCATCCACTTGCACATGCTCACCTGCCACTTCCGTAGCCCAGTTCTGAAGGGCTCAAGGCCCATTGTGGGCTGTGGGTTGGGGATGCCTATTCTACAGCATATGTAAAAAAAAGAAAGTGCTATCTCAGCAAATAATCCTAATCCTAATGTATAAATAATTAAGTGTTTCTGAGAAATTAAGATACTTTTTGCACTATTAATTAACAATCATTGATATATTATTTTAAAATAATTAGGGCTCAATAACATTTAACTTAAAACAAAGGAAGTATCAGTTGGATCAATTCAACCCATGCATACATACAAAAATATTAATAAAAAAAATCAGATTATATCATGATCAAAATACAATATTTTAAGGCTTAGGCCTCGTTTAAATCTATTTTGTTACCTTTCAATACACCGTTTGATTCATAGTTTATTTAAACTACAATTTCCATTTTTATCCCAATCCAGAATCTGTAGAAAGTATTATAGGGGACCTTGACAGAGATATGTATTCTCTGCTGTCAAGGCAACAAGTAATAAATCCACTATGTCCAGATAATGTTTAGAAGTGGGTCAGAGATACCTCCTTAATTCACTACAGTATAAGAAAGGGGAGAAAGCACTATATACTCAAACTTGCAGAACATTGTTTTTACAATATAACCAATCTCAATAAAACTAGTTTTAGATGTTCTGTGGACTTGATTTCATTAACCAAGTTGGGCTGACATAAACTATAATTTAATTCATCTTTACTAACTAAAATCTGAAAGTCTGAGGAGAGGAATTAAACTAATTTAGTTGTTCAGATATAATAAGAAAATATTTGAAATATACCTCAACACCAATAAGCTACAAGCTTTTGGAAAAGGGGCAGCTTAAAGAAGAAACTGCAAACAAATAACATATTCATATTATGGTTTATTGCCTAAGGTCATTCTATATGAATCCAACCACAAAACAAAGTTTAGCTGTGATTTCTTAATTTTTTAGTATAGAATAAAAATATTTTCTAAGTAATACTCCAAAGGGAAAATATTTTAAAGAAAGGTAGTTTGATTTTAGAATGCATTATGTTTATAATACCATGCAATCCTAAATAGAATGCCCAAATTTTATTTCAAAGTTGACAACTTCATACTAGACTTTCCTTTATTTTTCATTCTACAACCATAGAAATGAGAATGGCAACTGTGAGTGCCAGTTGGCCAGTCTACCCTTCCTCACAAAAGGAGGAACAGCACAACACACATTAAACAAAATGCATGAACTCAAACTACTTAGGAAATGTTTTATCAGGGAGGCAGCATTATTTTTTTCTCCAAAATATTTCTCAATATCTAAAATGTACTTAACTATCAATGGCAGTGAAGCCAGTGTCAGCAAAGACTGAAATCATGCATGTTTTAAGGCCATGGCTTCAAGGAATGGATACTGAAACATTTGCAAAAGCAAAGAAATTACCATACTTTGATCCAAAGTTGGGAGAAAACTCTGGATCACAGGATACCTGATTTAGATTTAGATTTTATTTGATTTATATATCGCCCTACTCCCGAAGGACTCAGGGCGGTGAACAGCCACAGATAAAACACATAAATACAAAATTTAAAAACAAAGTAAAACCGAATTAAACAATTTTGGCCCAAGACAGATTTAAAACACCCCAATAATTTAAAACAGATTAAAATTTACATTTTAAAAAGGGAAAAGATTAGGCCAGGCCAGACTGATGGAATAAAAAGGTCTTAAGAGCGTGGCGGAAGATGCACAGATCCGGGATCCTCCGTATCTCTGGGGGGAGCTCATTCCAGATAGTAGGTGCCCCCTCAGAGAAGGCTCTCCCCCTTGTCAAATGGGGGCCGCCATTCGACATTGTTTGGCTGACGGCACCCGGAGGAGCCCCTCTCTATGAGTGTACCGGCTGGTGGGAGGCTATTGGTGGCAGCAGGCGGTCCCATAGGTAACCAGGTCCTAAGCCATGGAGCGCTCTAAAAGTGGTAAACAAAACCTTGAAGCGCACCCGGAAGACCACCGGGAGCCAGTGCAGCTCGCGCAGGAGAGGTGTTAAATGGGAACGCCATGTTGCTCCCATAACCACCCGCGCGGCCACACTGTGCGCCAGTTGGAGCCTCCGGGTGCTCCTCAAGGGGAGCCCCATGTAGAGAGTGTTGCAATAGTCCAGGCAGGAAGTGACGAGGGCATGAGTGACCGTGAGTAAAGAGTCCTGATCCAGAAAGGGGTGCAACTGGCGAATCAAGTGAACCTGATGAAAAATCCTCCCGGTCATGGCCGTCAAATGCTCTTCTAAAGACAGCCGTGAATCCAGGAGGACGCCCAAGTTGCGAGCCCTATCCGTGGGGGTGGGGGCCAGCGATTCGCCCCCAATAGTCACTGATGGCGCCAACTGACTATATCGGGACGTCGGAAACCATAGCCACTCGATCTTGGATGGGTTGAGCCTGGGCCTGTTTCTCCCCATCCAGATCCGTACGGCCTCCAGGCACTAGGACATCACTTCAAGGGCATTGTTGGGGTGGTCCGGGGTGGAGATGTACAGCTGAGTGTCGTCAGCGTACTGGTGGTATTTCACCCTGAAACCACGGATGATCTCACCCAGCGGCTTTACATAAATGTTGAACAAAAGGAGCGAGAGGACCGATCCTTGTGGAACCCCACATATGAGGGGCCTCAGGGTCGACCTCTGCCCCCCTGCCAACACAGACTGCAACCGGCTGGAGAGAAAGGAGGAGAACCACCGCAACACAGTGCCCCCCACCCCTAACTCTTCCAACCGGTGCAGCATGATACCATGGTCGATGGTATCAAAAGCCACTGAGAGATCTAATAGGACCAGGACAGAGGAGCAACCCCTGTCCCGAGCCCTCCAGAGATCATCAACCAAAGCGACCAATGCCGTTTCCGTGCTGTACCCAGGCCTGAAGCCCGACTGGTATGGATCCTGATACGTCGTTTCATCCAGGTGCTGGGGGAGCTGTCGCGCAACCACTCTCTCAACAACCTTCGCCACAAAGCGAAGGTTGGAGACTGGACAATAACTTGCCAACACTGCCGGGTCCAGGGAAGGCTTCTTGAGGAGAGGCCTCACCACCGCCACTTTCAAGGTGGCGGGGAAGTCACGCTCACCCAACAAAGCATTTATAATCCCCTGGAGCCAGCCTCGCGTCACCTCCTGGGAAGCCAGCACTAACCAGGAGGGACATGGGTCCAACAAAAATGTGGTCACGTTCAGTCTGCCCAGAATCCTGTCCACGTCCTCAGGAGTCACAGGATCAAACTCATCCCAGATAATATTCTCAAGACCTGCCTCAGTCACCCCTCCTGAAAATACCCAGTTGGAGTCCAGGTCTTCCTGAATCTAAGTGATTTTGTCATACAGATACTGTACAAAGTCCTCAGCTTTACCCTCCAAGGGGTCCTCCCGCGCTCCCTGGTGGAGCAGGGAGCGGGTCACACTAAACAGGGCTGCTGGGCGATTATCTGATGACGCAATAAGAGCAGCAATATAATTACATTTTGCTGCTTTTATCGCCACTAGGTAATTCTTAATATGAGATCTTACCAGTGTCCAGTTGGATTCAGAAAGGCTGGCCCTCCAACTGCTCTCTAGGCATCTTTTCCGGCGCTTCATCTCTCTTAGCTCCTCAGTAAACCAAGGAGCCAGATGAGATAGGCGCCGGGTCAGAGTCCGCAAAGGCATGACCCGATCCAGAGCTCCAGCGCCCTATCCCAGACGACCACTAGGTCTCCAGTCGAGGCGTGTGAGTTAAAATTCTGGAATTCAGTTTTACTCCAAGAAGTTAAACAGGGCCTTAAGCTGAACATTCCACTTATCCTCAATAGTTGAGCTATTATTTAGATGTTATTTTTCTATTTTCTCAGAGTTTACTACTTAATTAGAGTTCTTGCTACCTTTTTAAAGAAGAAAAGGAGGAAAAAAACTACAGGAAAATCTATATGCATATATTCTGCATATTAATATAATATTAATATTAATGCATATTACCAAGAGTAAATACCTTCTAAATTCTGATTTAGCTGGTTACAGATTAATTACAGCAACATATTTAAACATGTAGTAAATTTCATTATATAATTTTGGCAAAAAAACCTAAATATTGAAAAACAAAAAAAGAGTTATTCGTCTTACCGTAAATAACGTATTTAATTAAATAGCTTTTTTCTTCTTGTTCAGTAGTAGGCTTAAACACTAGAGAACATGTGTAAATTCCACTCATGTAAGATTTAAAATTTTGGAATAAAAGAGTTCCTGTTGGGGATATTGTCACAGATTCATTTCCTGTATTGAAAAGATAAAATAAATTTTGTTGTTTAAGGAGTTTCAAGCCATAGTAACTACATATTTTAATTATTTAGTCTTGATTCTAAAGCATATCACAATTACTTTATCCTTGTGTGCGTGTGTGTGTGTGTGTGTGTATGTGTGTGTGTGTGTGTCTTTTTCAAATTATAATACTCCCCAAAAATGTTTTTAAAAAGATCAACAGAACTAGCCTGTACTAATTAGTTCAATATAACCAGACTGGTATGAAAGACAGAATTAAAAAGGGATCTTCATAAGTTGCAGAAGTGCATAGAAATAAAATTACTTTTATTTTTTGCGTTTGTGCTCACTTATTGCCTCCATTATCGCTATATACAGGAAAGTAAAAATTTCTTCAGCGGTATATTAACATTCTCAAACACAACTCTGTCAGGTGGGAGATATTTGAACACTGAATTCTTAATATCATCCCTCACAAACATCTAAGAGAAAAGTGTCCTAAGGTAAAACTATGTTAGTTCTATAAAGCCAGCCCAAACTATTACAGGTAATCCTTAAATTATAATTACTCATTCAGAGTTCATTCAAAAGTATGACAGAACTGAAAAAGGTTTACAAATTGCAGATGCTGCAGCATCACCATGGCATGTCCCAGGTACCCATTTTGCAATTACAATGCAGCAAACTGCAGTCACATGATAACCATTTACAAACTTCCTACAAGCTTCCCAGAAGAGAAGTCAATCAAGTAGTCAGTAGGGAACAATTCGCTCTCATAAATCATTCCCAGTTTTTCTCCCAGGGCCCCCTTATAAATTCCTATACTATACTCTATAGTACCCTTTTCACAGAGCCCACCCGCTGCCATTGCTCCCCAGCACCTGCTCAGAGCGTTCTCCCATTTCCCATGTTCTTTACCTCCCACTTCTTCTCACTTAATGATCCATGCAGGCAGCGACAGGGAATGCCAGGATTTCAGTTATTAAATGTTGGCATTGTGCTTTTTGGCAGCACTAAACCTGACATGCTGTCACTAAACATGATATTGTGCTTTATGACCACACTGTTTAGTAACAACAATCCAGGTTCCAATTGCCATTGAAAACAGCATCAATTTACTTCATGATCTAAGGACCATATTGCTTTCTGAATCTCAGAAAAACAATTACAGAATCAATTACAAAAATAATGTGACACTGATCCCTGGTATCTCTCTTGGTATAACTGTTTATCAATCTAAATTAATAAAACGGCTTTCTTCCACAGATATTACTTGGTTGTCCAGCATTAATGCTAAATCCAGGAATATCTATTCTCAGATTGATGCAAGCCTATTCAGAAGTCCAGCAAATCCATAACAAACAATAATTCATTTTCTCCACAGTTTATTCTACTAGATCCAATCCTTTACAATTTGAACACCCATCCCTGAATTTGCAGGAAACAGAAATACTGCTAATGTCATTCATGTACTGGTGCTAGTGGGCTCCAAACCCCATGAACTCTCACAAAAGCCTCAAGTATATATTAAATAAGAGAAATAATATGATTTTTTTCAGAATGATGCAGAAAATTTGCTAATATTCAAGCAGTATTTACCAACACTATCTTTTGACTGTTTCACAGTCAGCACAGGCCTATAATCTACAGAATAGAACTCCAGATCCCAGGTCTACTCCTAAATCTCATTGGAACTTCCAGAAAACAGATTGGAATACTTATGCCAAGCGAACTGATGCTAATATTGGATGGATCAAGCAGTCTCTAAGAACTGGGACAGGTTTGTTGGCTTAATTAAATCTGTGGTTAAAAGGAACATTCCTAGAGGCCACCATAAAGATTACATTCCTGGATGGAGTGAGGAGATAAATCAATTGTGCAGCGAGTTTGAACAGGACAGTAATCCAGAGAAAGCAATCAAATTGCCAAAATATCTGGACAGAGCCAGAAAAGAGAAATGATCGAAGATTGTAGAAAATCTGAACTTTACCCACTCTAGTAGGAAAGCCTGGTTCCTCATCCGAAAATTGGATTCATCATCTATACCATTGAGAAAACTTTCTATCATCAGTGTGGAATCCATAGTTAACCAATTCATCTTTAGTTCAAGAACACAAGACATAAAAAATTCACTAGACGAATTAGATCTGAATTTAGATTACTGAAGCATGATCTTCCACCATGCTTTATACTCAACACGCATTTACACCAGAAGTGCAGAGGGCTGGATTCTTTACAAAAAAGTAAAGCTATAGGATTTGATGGCATGTACCAAGAATTACTGTGGACCAGCAATTAAATGCTGGCTTGCCTCCTTTTTTAATTCCATGCTATACTCAGGATGGCTATCTCCTATCTTCAAGAAGATTAAAATTATTGCAATTTTGAAATCACAGAAGGACCCAAAAGTTCCCCAAAGTTACAGGCCAATTGCTCTTCTCTTCTCTACAAACATTTAGAAAGACTTGTGTTAAACAGAACAACCTTGTAATCCAAGTTGAACAAGCTGGATTTTGTCCCAAACAAGACTGTAGCGATCAAGTCTTTGCATTAACTTTCTATCTGGAGAATGGATTCCAAAGGAAAATGAAAAATTTCTCTATTTTTCTTGACCTCTTGGCAACCTATGATGATGATGATAAGACTTCTCTTCAAATTAATAAAGGTTGTACCTTGTTGTAAACACCATTGCCTGGACTGACAGCATGTTGAGTAACAGTTTATTTCAAGTTTTCACAGAATTCAATAGAAGCAGATTTCATAAACTGGATTTCCAGAAGGATCAGTGCTATCCTCTGTTCTTTTTACATTCATAATCTGCCTGAAACTATTTCACGGAAATATCAACCTCACAGTTCAACGAACCAACTTCAGTGATGCAGAAGACATTCTTTCTCAACATCTCCAAAACCTGGATGACTACTTTAAAAAATGGTGCCTCCAACCAAGCCTAACAAAAACAAAAGGAACATTGGAACTTACCTGAATGTTTGTTCTCTGTGCGCTGCAGGAGAGTCCAAGCTCTGGGATTTCCTCAGGCTGGTTGGCCAGTGACTGGGTTGAATTTGCATAGCCACGCCTCTTCCTCCCATGATCCTTCAGTGTTTTGACGAAGAGGTCTGGAGATGACGTAGCCCCAATGATGGATAAGGACCCCAAGGTTGGGGGAGACTAAAGGAGACTACTAGGGAGGGGTTGGACTCTCCTGCAGTGCACAGAGAACGAACATTCAGATAAGTTCCAATGTTCCTTCTCCTGTGCGCTGCTTGGAGAGTCCAAGCTCTGGGATATACCCAAGCTAAATATCCCTAGGGTGGGAGTCCAAGCAGTCCAGGGACCTTTCATCGGGTAGAACCTGCTGAAGGACTCTTCTCCCGAAGGAAGCTTCGGCGGAGGCAAACGTGTCCAGTTTGTAGTTCCAGATGAAAGTGGTAGGGGAGACCCAAGTGGCCGACCTGCAAATTTCTAGAATGGAAGCCCGTGTGGCCCAAGCTGCCATGGTAGCAGCGCTGCGGGTGGAATGTGCTGTAATGTGCCTTGGAAGTGGTCTATCTTGGTGCTCGTAGGCCATTGCGATGCAAGCCTTGAGCCACCTTGCAATTGTGGATGGAGTTACTTTCTTTCCCAAGGAACTGGGCTGAAATGATACAAAAAGAGATTCAGTTTTTCTGAAAGATGCGGTTCTGTCAATGTACTTGCGAAGTGCCCGACAGACATCTAGAGTGTGCCAACGTCATTCCCTGGAATGTGTAGGATTGGGGCAAAAGTTCGGTAGAACGACCTCCTGTGCCCTGTGAAACCATGAATTGATTTTGGGCACGAAGGTTGGATTCAGTCGGAGAATTACTCTGTCGGGGTAGAAAATACATAAGTCCTTGCGCACCGATAGAGCAGCCATCTCGGAGATCCTTCTCGCTGATGTAATTGCTATTAGAAATGAGACTTTGAAGGTAAGAATCTTGAGACTGGCGGACCCCAAAGGCTCGAATGGAGGGGATGTGAGCGCTTGTAGAACAAGATGCAGCTCCCAGGAGGGATATCTATGTATGGTAGGAGGTCGTAAATTGGAGGCGCCTTTCAGGAAACTCCTCACCTTTGGATGTTGAGAGAGGGTGGTGGAGCCCTCAGAATGCACTATGGTTGCCAAAGCAGCCACCTGCCTGCGGAGTGTGTTGGTAGAAAGCCCCTGCTTAAAGCCTGAATGGAGGAAGCTCAGAATATCTGGAATAGAAGCTAGGGTAGGCATTATGTGCGAACTGCAGCACCAACGAGAAAATGCTGACCACGTGGCTTCGTATACCCTGGTAGTAGATGGGCGGCGAGAAGCCTGGATGATGGAAATGACTTCACTTGAGAATCTGGAACCTTTCAGGATTTCCCTCTCAAATGCCAGACGGCTAGTTGAAGCCATTGTGGCTCGGGATGAAGGATGGCCCCCTGGCTGAGGGAAATCCTGTCTGGCAGAATCCGCCAAGGGCGTGATACCGACAGTGCCACTAGGTCTGCAAACCACGGCCTCCTGAGCCAGTGTGGTGCCACCAGGAGAATCTCCGCCTCCTCGTCCAGAAGTTTCTGGATGACCCTCGGAAGGAGTGGGATTGGAGGAAAAGCATAGAGGAGCCCTTGAGGCCAGGGCGCTCTGAGGGCATCAGTTGCTTCGGCTCCTGGTGTCAGAAAACGGGAAAAGAATCGTGGTAATTGATTGTTCCTGGGAGTGGCGAACAGGTCCACGCATGGTGGGCCGAATCTGGTTGTCAGTTGGTGGAAAAGGTCTGGGTGGAGACGCCATTCTGATTGGTCAATGGTTGATCTGTTCAGCCAGTCTGCTTGTTCGTTGTTCGCTCCTGAGATATGCTCCGCCTGAAGGGAAAGGAGATGAGATTCCGCCCAGGGGCCCAGACTCGCCGCTTCGGACATCAGAACCTTGGATCGGGAGCCCCCTTGTCTGTTCACGTGTGCCTTGGCGGTGATGTTGTCGGTCAACAGCAACACATGATGGTTCCTTAGCGATTGGT